CCCCCAGCAGGGCCCTCTGAGGTGGAGCAGCAGCTACAAGTGGAGGCCGAGCACCTGCAGGAGGAGCTGGAGGGTCTGGCAGGACAGCTCCAAGCCCAGGCGCCAGACAATGAGGGTTTGAGTTGCCCGAACCAAGAGCAGGAGGAGAGACTGCTGGAGCTGGAGCAGAAGGCTGAGCTCTGGGAGGAGCAGGCAGAGGTGCGCAGGCCCAAACCTTGGAGACCATGCAGAATGACCTCGCCACCATCAATCATGCAGTCTCCCAGAATGGTGAGCTCAAGGAGCAGATGGCCAAGCTGCAGAGCGGCTTCATGAAGCTGAAAAATGAGAACATGGAGATCACCAGCAAACTGCAGTCAGAGCAGTACATCAAGAAGGAGCTAGGCAAGAAGCTGGGTGAGCTGAAGGAGATGGTAGAACTGAAAAGCCAAGAGGCTCAGAGTCTGCAGCAGTAGTGAGATCAGTACCTGGGTCACCTGCAGCAGTACATGGAGGCCTATCAGCAGCAGGTGGCCACCTTTCAGCAGGTGCCCTCTGAGAAGGAGCTCCACAAGCAGTTACTGCTGCAGACCCAGCTCATAGAACAGCTGCAGCAGGAGGAAGCTCAGGGCAAAGTGGTGGCTGAGATGGCCTGCCAAGAGTTGCAGGAGACCCAGGAGCACCTGGAAGCCACCAGCCAGCAGAAGCAGCAGCTACAGGCCCAGCTGACCTTCATGGCTCTCCATGGGGAAGGAGATGGACTGGACAGTAAGGAGGAGATGCCTCCACTCATGCTGAGCATCCTGGAGGACCTGGAGAGTCAGGAGGCCATGGTGGCATTTTTACACTCAGCTGTAGCCAGTGCCGAAGAGGAGAAGGCACAGCCACGTGGGCAGCTGAAGGAGCAAAGGGTGAGCTGTAAGTGTCTGGCTCACCTGGTGGCCTCGGTCCAGAAGGAGCCAGAGGCAGCAGCCCTAGCCCCAGGGACTGGAGACAATTCTGTGTGTGGGAAGGCCCACCAGGCCCTCCAGGGGGCCATGGAAAAGCCTCAGAGCCACTTTATGGAGCTCATGCAGGAGAAGGTGGACCTGAAGGAGCAGATGGAAAAGCTGGAACGTCACTGTATCCAGCTGTCTGGAGAGACAGACGTCATCAGTGAGCGGGAGGCCAGGACATGGCAGGGGGAGCTGCACTGTGGTCGGAGGGGTCCCAGTGTCTGAACCCTATCCTCCGGCAGGAAAGTACATCACACTGTACCAGAGCCAGAGGGCAGTGTTGAAGATGTGGCGACAGAAGGAATACATGAGCAGGCTGGCCCAGGACAAGAAGAAGATGAAAGTGAAGCTACTGGAGCTGCAGGAGCTGGTGTTGCGGCTTGTGGGCAACCACAACAAGTGGCATGGCAAATTCCTGGCAGCTGCCCAGAACCCTGCTGATGAGCCCGCTCCAGGCACCACAGCTCCCCCAGGAGCTTGGGACTACCAACAAGCAGGGTGATCTTTGCAAGATGCGCCTCGTCCACAGTGTGGAACCTGCACAAGGAGAGGCCGGGGAGGGTTCTCACCATGACAATCCCACTGCACAGCAGGTTATGCAGCTGCTTCCTGAGATGCAGAACCCCCAGGAGCACCCAGGCTTGGGCAGCAACCCCTGCATTCCATTTTTCTATCGTGCTGACGAGAAATGAGGTGAAGATCACCGTCATCTAAAAGCCGGCCACTGTCAGCAAAGCTTGGAGAAGTGGGGCCAGAAGCTCGTCCCCATCAGGTCCTTACCACCCCTTCCCAGTCACCCCATTATCTTTAGAGTAGCAAGGTAAGACCCCTGTGTGATGTGGGGAGACAAACAAGTGCAGACCCTTTGCCACCTTGGCCCGGGCTGAGTCCTTAATTTCTGGATGATTATTGTGGTTATTTAAGAGCCAGAGGCTCATAGAGTTGATTTATTTGGAGGAGGCCTGGTGGCCTCCCTGATGGCCTTACTCTCACTAAAGCAACTTTTCCCTCACAGGGGCTCCCATCTTCTTATTTGGAGAGGCAGCTGAGGCAGGACAATGGGGCTAAATGTAGAACACGCGAGAGAACAGGCTGCTGGGGGTGACTCCCCTTCCCCAGTGGACATATTGTATCTGCATAACATTTTGTAATTCCAGGGGTAGGGCCACCCCCTGTACTATACATAGAGGAGGTTGAAGCTGGCACATGGAGAGGAGGTTCTAGTAATTATTTGGGGCTCGGAAACTTCTTTATTGATAGCATGGGACAGAGAAAGGAGGCAGGGATGGGGTCATGGTGCCCTGGTGATGCAATTTCTGTTTATTTTGCTTTTTATTTTGGAATAAACGGATTTAGCCATGGTGTGGGGGAAGAAGAGGTGAATACTGCATAAATATACTAACACTTGAGTAGATCTTCTTCAAAAAGTATCCATTGGAAAAGGATTTAGGTGCAATTAGCATATCCTTCCTAAAGTAAGCCTCCCCTGAAGAAATGTCTGTGGCATAATGATGAGGCTTAAAAGAGGGAGAGAGAATTAAGTGGGGTGACATTTTAAAAATAAGTACCTAATTGTTACCGGTAAGCATGCTGATCCTCGTAAGGCTAATGATGCCAAGTTGATTTACTGCTCTAAAGAAGATAGAATTTAAAATCACTACATGGCATTTAATTTAATCTAGCAAGTTTTAGTTGCATTTACATTTACTCAATCATAGAATCATTGACAACCTTGAAAGTAAACAGACAAATGTGCTAAGAACATTCTTCCTGGGTGCAGGGTGGAAGTAGTATTTTAACTTAACTGTCTGGCACTTGATATCTATCTGGCTGTCCCATATAAGCTTTGAAGGAAGTGACTGATTTTACTCTTGTGGTACATGATTTATAAGGCTATTTATTTGAACCTGTATCTATGTCTACCTATGTAGGCCATTTTGTTTCACAGTAAAAATCATTAAATGAGCATGTCATATATTTTCTAATATATTTATGTAAAATTTAGTATGTGTATATGAGTAAAAATTAAAGCCAAAAAAGGCAGTAGTGTGGGGAGTAACTTGGGAGTTGACTAACCAATCTTTAACATTGCTCAAACAGCAGTTTAAAACTTCCAGACAGCCTGAATGATAATTGTTAGAAGATGCTACTTCCATGTGTCCAAGTTATAATGCTTCGGTCAACTAATTAAGAGCCCTTAGAAAATCCCTTACTACATATAAGTGAAATATATAAGTCCAATATTCACATTAATTCTTTTAGGTCTGAATATTAACAAATGCCATTCTAGTCATCTACCACTTGTCACACATTTATTGAACACCTACTATGTGTTAGACACTGTGTTAGGAACTGAGGAAATAGAGGAAAAAGACTGGACCCTACTCTCTTACATAGCTCAGAGTGTCTAGGACAGACTGGCAAAAGAAAAATGGTAGAATTTTGTGTTGTGAGTCATGAAAAGGCATGGCCAGGGTGCTATAAGGCTCAGAGAAAACCATCTGACAGAGAAGACCCTTAGTCCAAATCTTGATGGATGAGTTGGTGTTACCTGCACGTTTTTCCTCCACAAGAAAAAAGGAAAAACATGTTCTGAGCTGTGGGACAGCATGGGCGAAGGCATTACTATGATGCATTTGAGGAACTGCTGAACAGAGTGGGTTCTGTTCCTGGGATGCTCCAGGAAGTGAGTGGGAAACAGAAAGTAGAGCTTTGTATACCCTGAAAAGGTGCTTTCATTTTTTTTTTTTTCTTAGAATCATGTGGAGTTGCAGGATTTGACATAAACGAGGATTTTAAGTGATCTGATTTAGAGATCATCTGGCTGCCACTGTAGAATTGTTCCAGGGGAACAAGACTAAAGTCAGAGATAGTGCCAGAAAGGAGAGAATGGACATGAGAAAATTTTCGGAAGAAGAATGAGCAGAACTTGGCTATTGGTTGTATGAGGGCTGAGGGAGACCACGCAGGGTAGGACCACTAAGCAGTGTAGTTGAGGGTGCTCATAGGATACTCGGAAGCAGGAGGAGGAGCACAGTTTGGCTCAAGGGCAATGTAGAATGATGATGAATTCAGTTTTGGTGCAGTGGATCTGCTAAGTGAAGAAGACAATGGGCAGTTGCTTACCCAACAGCTCAAGAAAGTGATATTAGGTGGAAGCAGAGATTTGGTAGCATCAACCCACACGGTAATCTCTGAAACTATAAAAGTGGGTGAGATTTCCCAGGAAGCAAGTATGAAGAGAAAAGAGAAGAGAGCTAAATCCTGGGGAATGTTGACTTTTAAATGACTAGCCCAAGAATCCAAGAAGAACATTGAAAAGTAGGAAGTGAAGAAATAAAGTAAACTAAGAGTGGCATTACAGATTCTTTGAAAAGAAAAAGTTTCAAGGAAAAAAATTGTCCAAAAAAATTTTTAATGCTTCAAAGGTTTTTATTCATCTCTCCATTTCTTTCTTCATTCATTTAATAAATATTCACTGGGCTTTTAGTATATTCTAGGCACTAGTTAAATATAGTTGCTAAGCAAAATCAAACCTGTCCTCAGATAGATTACCATTTAATGGAGTAGACTAATTTTAAATAAATGAGCCAAGCAATATATGTGTCATTTCAAATTATGATGAGTGCCATAACAGGATGCTAAGTGCCATAAAGGATACCCCGGGTGTCATCATTAGGAGGTCATTGATGGTTTTGTACTGTTAGCCTTGAAGAAGTGAGAGAAGTGGGAAGAAGCCAAATTACCACCAAATTGCCATGAGTTAAGGATAAATATGAGGGAAGGATATAGAGTAAAGCAGGTAGGCAACTCTTTTGAGAAGCTTGACTGTGGCAAACAATAGAGCAAGAAGAAGAAAACTAAAACCAAACATTATTTGTTTTAAAACCTGAGAATACGGAGCATATTGATTGGCTGAGATTGAAAGGAACCAGCCAAGAGAAATAGTTCTAAATATAAATTTAAAAGTGAGAAAAAAAATTGATGAAATTGGTGAAAATTAATGAAAATACAAATATGTTTCAGGTGGATCCAAATGAGCTAAGGAAAAACTACAGGACTTCTACAAAATTTCAGGTAGGTGACTCAAAAACAGTTTCAAAATTGCTCAAGTAATCTCTTACCATTTTGACTTTAAATCCCATCTATGGATTTCTATAAACAAAGTTTATACATATGAAGTTTTATTAGACAAAGATAAGCCTGAAGTTTCTGCCTCTCAATAATTACCTGATATATTTCCTTGTATGTGCAAATGGGTAATTCCACATATAAGTCCTTATTAAGCAGACCAAAATAAGTTAGTGCCCACATTTGAATTCTAATTTACACATCAATAAAGGAATATGGGTTCGTTGTATACTTTGCCTTGTCTGCAAAATTCTAGCCCCCAATTCATGTAGCATGATGTTGTAAAGGTTTGCAAAATTGTTTCTACTCCTTCTTTCTTGTTCTCATGTATTCAAAATAAAAATTATTAATAGAAGAGAGGCAATTGTTTAGATAACATGGAACCTTCTTTTCTAAAACATATGTTTTATTGCCCATAATTGTTTTCTAAGTACTTTGTTCTCTAACTCTGAGAAATAGGCAGAGGTCGGGGTTATTTTGGTTTACCCAATTGGAGTGAACTCTAGCCCCCCACTTCAAAGACAATTCTTTAGTGGCCTCACAGTTTGTTTAAAAATACAAATCTGGGTTTAGGTCTCAAACTATCCCTGTTGGAAATCTACAATGATTAACATCCCTTTCAATTGGCTTTTTAAAAAATCTCCAACTAATTTTCTTTATTAAAAATTGCCACATACTTAGGCATATTCATAAAAGATCTCTGTGCTGCTTTGATGAATTCTGCGAAGTGGATGAATACTTTTGTAATCCCATAAAGCTTATTCCAAACTCTTACTTTCCGGAGTTTGAATAAGGGCTAAATTAATTTATATATTTAATTTGTGTTAGCATAATGACATTTTGGTCAATGACAGACCATGTATATGGTGAAGGTCCCATAAGATTATAAGGGAGCTGAAAAATTCCTATTGCCTAGTGACATCATAGCCATCATAACATTACAGTGCAATGTGTTATTCACCTGTTTGCAGCGATGCTGGTGTAAACAAAACTACTGGGCTGCCAGTCACACAAAAGTATAGTACATACAAATATGTATGGTACATAATATTGGGGATAATGGTAATAAACAACTAAGTTACTAGCTTATGTATTTACTATACCATACTCTTTATTGTTATTTTAGATTGTACTCCTATGAATTGTTTTAAAGTTAATTGTAAAAGAGACTCAGGCAAGTCTTTCAGGAGGTATTCCATAAGAAGGCATTGTTATTATAGGAGATGACAGCTCCACCCATGTTATGGAGCCTGAAGACCTTCCAGTGGGGCCAGATATGGATGTGGAAGACAGTGATATTGATGATCCTGACTCTGTGTAGGCCTAGGCTAATTTGTGTGCTCGGGTCTTAGTTTTTAACAAAAAAGCTTAAAAGTAAAAATAAAAACATTTAAAAATAGAAAAAAGCTTATGTAATAAACATATAATGAAAATTCTTTTGTACAGCTGTACAATGAGTGTTTTAAGTTAAGTGTTATTACAAAAGAGTAAAAAGTTTTCAAAAATTCAAAAGCTTATGAAGTAAAATAGCTATAGTGAGCTAAGGTTACTTTATTATTAAAGAAAAAACTGTTAAACAAATTTAGTGTAGCCTAAGTCTACAGTGTTCATAAAGTATACACTAGTGTACGGTAATGTCCTAGGCCTTCAGTCACTCACTACTCACTCATTGACTCAGCCAGAGCAAGTTCCAGTCCTGCAAGCTCCATTCATGGTAAGTATCCTATACAAGTGTACCATTTTTATCTTTCATATCACATTTTTAACTGTACGTTTTCAATGTTTAGATGTGTTTAGATACAAAGATATTTACCATTGTGTTATAATTCCCTACAGTACTCAGTACAGTAACATGCTGTACAATAACATACAATAATATACTGTAATATACAGAGCATGCTGTACAGTAACATGCTCCTAGGCTTGTAGCCTGGAAGCTTAGGCTTATATGTCTATACCATACCACCTATGTGTGTAGTAGACAATACATCTAGGTTTCTGTAAGTACATACTATGATATTCACACGATGAAATCACCTAACAATGCATTTCTCAGAATATATCCCTGTTGTTAAGTGACACATGACTGTATTTTTGAAGTTGGCCATTCCACTATTAGCTTGTTAACTTCTTGTGAATAGAAACAATATCTTATTCCTATTTCAACCCCAACATGCTTTGCAAATTGTCTTGCACAGAGTTTAGTGTTAGTCAATACTTCAATCAATTTTCTATAGTTCAATGAGAAATAAATTATCTCTGGCTACACAAATCTGTGCCAATGTGTTAATATTAAAATGGCTAATGATTAATGACTGTCTGCAGAGAGAATGTGAGAGGGGAGTTGAGCAATTGAATAGAAAGCAAGCAAAAAGATCGTTATGATTTGAGCCAAAAACTATAGGTTTTAGAGTAGCAATAGATAGGTCAATCATGTGCCTGCTTTTTTATTTTAAATACATTATTTTAATTACTGTTCTGTACACCTAACTTGTTACAAAGATCGATACTTATACAGTAAAATCAATGAGGTTTGAGGATATGATGTAATTTCTAAACTAATACTTTTAGTAAGTAATTTGTTTTTAATAGCTAATCTGGTTAATTCAAACCAGAAGTTCTATTCTTGTTCAGTAGCAGCAGGCTTTGAAATTGTTAGGCAATTAATTATCTCAACTCTATGCTTTTGGGGTACAAGTGGTTTTTGGTTACATGGATTAATTATATAGTGGTAAATTATGAGATTTCAGTGCACCCATCACCAGAGTAGTGTACGTTGTATCTAATATGCAGTTTTTTTTGTCCCACTCCAAGCCCATCCCCACTTCTGGACTTCAAAGTCCATTATATCACTCTGTATGCCTTTGCATTCTGAGAGCTTAGCTCCCACTTATAAGTGAGAACATTTAGTGTTGGGTTTTCCATTCCTGAATTACTTCACTTAGAATAATGGCCTCCAGCTCCATCCAAGTTGCTGCAAAAGACATTGATTCCTTTCGATGTCTAAATATTATTCCGTGGTATACATATACCACATTTTCTTTATCCACTCATTGTTCAATGGCCACTTAGGTTAGTTTCATATTTCTGAAATTATGAATTGGGCTGAAATAAACCTACACGTGCATGTGTCTTATTCATGTACTGACTCCTTTTCCTTTGGGTAGATTCCCAGTAGTGGGATTGCTGGATTGAATAGTAGATCTACTTTTAGTTGTTTAAGGAATGTCCATAGTGTTTTCCATAGAAGTTTTACTAATTTACATTCCCAGCAGCAGTGTATATGCGCTCCCCTTTTACCACATCCATGCCAACATCTATTGTTTTTTGACTTTTTAATAATGGCCATTCTTTCAGGAATAAGGTGGTATCTCATTGTGGTTTTAATTTGCATATCCTTATTGACTAGACAGGTCACTAGACAGGTCAACAGTGTGTCTGCTTTTTTATTTTTAATACATTATTTTAATTACTGTTCTGTAGACATCTTGTTACAAAGATCAGTTAGTTCCATATTTTCTGCAATTATGAATTGGGCTGAAATAAACCTATATATGCATGTGTCTTTTTCATGTACTGACTCCTTTTCCTTTGTGTAGATACCCAGTACTGGGATTGCTGGATCGAATGGTAGAGCTACACAAATCTGTGCCAATGTGTTAATATTAAAATGGCTAATGACTAATGACTGTCATCATAGAGGAGTTGAGAGGGGAGTTGAGCAACTGAATAGAAAGCAAGTAAAAAAATCATCATTCGAGCCAAAAACTATAGGTTTTATAGTAGCACTAGACAGGTCTACAGTGTGCCTGCTTTTTTATTTTAAATACATTATTTTAAGTACTGTTCTGTACACTTCTTAACTTGTTACAAAGATCAGTACCTGTACAATAAAATCAATGAGGTTTGATGATATGATGCAATTGGGGGTGGCATTTTTTTCATGTTTTTTGGCTATTTGTATAACTTCTTTTGAAAAATGTCTATTCATGGCATTTGTCTACTTTTTGATGAGATTATTTGTTTTTTCTTGCTGATTTGAGTTCCTTGTAGATTCTGGATACTAGTCCTTTGTCTGATGCATAGTTTGCAAATATTTCCTCCCATTCTGTGAGTTGTCTGTTTATTCTGATGATTATTTCTTTTTACGTGAAGAAACGTTTTTAATCAGGTCCCATTTATTTATTTTCGTTGCATTTGCTTTTGGGGCTTTAGTCATAAATTCTTTGCCTAGGCCAATGTCCAGAAGAATTTTTCCAAGGTTATCTTCTACAATTTTTATGGTTTCAGATCTTATATTTAAGGCTTTGATTTATCTTGAGTTGATTTCTGTATAAAGTGAGAGATAGGGATCTAGTTTCACTCTTCTACATGTGGCTTGCCAGTTTTGCTAGCACCACTTAAAAAACAAGATGTCCTTTCCCTAACTTAAGTTTTTGTGTGCTTTGTTCAATACCAGTTGGCTATCAGTATTTGGCTTTATTTCTGGGTTCTGTATTCCATTCCGTTGGTCTATGTACCTACTTTTATACCAGTACTATGCTGTTTTGCTAACTATAGACTTGAAGTCTGGTAGTATAATGCCTTCAGATTTGCTCGTTTTGCTTAGGGTTGCCTAGGCTGTAAGGGCTCTTTTTTAGTTTCATGTGAATTTTAGAATTGTTTTCTCTGATTCTGTGAAAAATAATGTTGGTATTTTGATGGGAATTGCATTGAATCTGTAGATTGCTTTTGGCAGTATGGACATTTTTACAATACTGATTCTCCCAATCCATAAGCATCAGATGTGTTTCTGTTTGTTTGTGTCATCTATGATTTCTCTCAGCAGTGTTTTGTAGTTCTCTTCGTAGGGATCTTTCACCTCCTTGGTTAAGTATATTCCTAGGGATTTGTTATTGTTGTTGTTGTTGTTTTACAGTTGTAAAGGGATTGAGTTCCTGATTTGCTTCTCAGCTTGGTCATTTTTGTATGTGTATTGCAGTGTTACTGGTTTGTGTACATTGATTTCATAATCTGAGACTTTATTGAACTTGTTTATGAGATCTAGGAGTCTTTTGGAGATGTCTTTAGGGTTTTCTAGGTATACGATCATATCATCAGTGAACAGTGATAGTTTGATTTCCTCTTTTTTGATGTGAATGCCCTTTATTTCTTTCTCTTTCTTGATTATCCTCTGGCTAGGACTTCCTCAACTCTCTATTTTATACGTGTGGCCTTACAATATGTTCTTAACTGCTCTTAATTGTCTTAAGATGTCTTAAAGTTTTTAAATATACCCTATTAAGACCATGTAAAATTTACTAAAAATGAATAATTATTTTACATAAAAGAATTTCGTATTGTTGTTGCCATCAAGAAAGTATGAAGTATGACATTGTCATTTCATAATGACCAGTTTAACAGAAGATCAAAATAATTTTAATACATGACAATTTTTAAAAATTTCTTAGCTATAATAGTACTTTCAACACCTCCTCCCATCAGAGCTGCTGATTAATTGCAATCATTATTGATTTCTTTTCTCTCCTCTCTCAGCCTGCACAGGCTCTGATAGATACTTTTAAAGCAGTTTATTGGTAGCAAAATGGTTCAAAGTAGACAAGAGTAGAAAGCATTGAAGAGCCTAAATGAACCACAATATAATCAACTCTGAACACTGGAGAATTGGCTGAAACATAAAAATATAATGCTGCAATGAAAGTTCAATGCTTTCAAATAAAATCAAGAATGGACTTGATTTTTAGTCCAAGAGCCCCATGTTAGAAACACTATTCAAACGTATTTTAACATTAGCAACTATGCCCATTGTATATGTGACAGCTCAATAAAAATCCCAGTAAATGCAGTGCCTAAGGAGAGATCAGATGCATGGTGGTGGAAATGAAATATAGTGGAAGGAGGCTACAGAATAGTTTTCATGGTGCTAATATGCCTTAAAAAGCCCCATGCATAGTTCATTGAAAGCAGTTTTGGATTAAACAACAAATAATGCACTGTGACTGGTCAACTTTTACAGACATCAATGTAAATCCATCCATTCCCAGAAAGGCATGTAAACACTACATATTTTTGAATGTGTTCTTTCAACAGTTGGATGTCGCATCAATAATACCATTTGATGTTTGCTACCTCTTCTTCGGGTTTAATCCAATATTTAGAGCAAACAGGATGTTAAAGGTAAGATAACTATATTTAATTGTCTTTTCCCTTATAATGGAAATATTTCCATTTCCTTATAATGGAAATCTCAAAACAATTTAAAGTATCTTGAAATTACCAATATTCTTGATTTTTCCCAAACTCTTCTCCATCTTTCTGCCCTCATCAATGCTATGTTTTTTTAATGAAAGAAGAACAAAATGTCTACTGGTGAAAGTTGCTCCTGGTTTTTATTTTATATCTCACATGGAAATTTCAGAAGGTACCTGCTTGGAGATAACCAATTTTCAGAAATAATCAGGTTTCTATAGATTTAGGAGTTTATCTGGCATTATGATAAAAGCTTATAAAGTGCCAACTCTTCATTCCCCATCTCTGTAACCCTAAAATGTCCAAAAGCCCTCTCTATCCATTAGATATTTAAATATAGGAGATCCTGACAGTTAACATTAATCTTCTTTTCAAAGCCCCGTAGTCCACTCATTTCACTTATTTATTTATTTTTATTTTTATTTTTATTTATTTTTTTTTTTTGAGACGGAGTCTCGCTCTGTAGCCCAGGCTGGAGTGCAGTGGCCGGATCTCAGCTCACTGCAAGCTCTGCCTCCCGGGTTCACGCCATTCTCCGGCCTCAGCCTCCTGAGTAGCTGGGACTACAGGCGCCCGCCACCTCGCCCGGCTAGTTTTTTGTATTTCTTAGTAGAGACGGGGTTTCACCGTGTTAGCCAGGATGGTCTCGATCTCCTGACCTCGTGATCCACCCGTCTCGGCCTCCCAAAGTGCTGGGATTACAGGCTTGAGCCACCGCGCCCGGCCATTTCACTTATTTATAAGGGTGTCATCTTAATGCACAATTCTCTAGGATAAATATTTATTATCTATCTGTCTCCAAATTATAAAAAACAAATGAATATACATTTTCTTTTTAGTGAACACTTAAGCTAAATTTGAAATCATGCCTTTGTGCAAAATTGTTTTAAGAGCACAATAAACAAATTACCACACATATAAAGTATCATAATCTGAGTGTTCGAAGACGTTTTTTCCTACTTATGAACTCTGGAAAAACAAATCCTTTGTGTATATTTCTAATTAAATAGTCATTACTATTACCTACACTATTTTTAATTCTAAATGTTCTATTGCAGTCATATCCACGTTGGGCAAAATTTTGAACTAAGTAATCTCTGTGGTCCCTCCTATCTGTAAGAGTCTATGATTTGAAGCATATTAAATATATTAACTTACATATGCACACAACCCTTTTGGGGGGCATCTTTTCTTATTGACCTCATTTTACAGATGAGAAAACCAAGGCAGAGAAATAGCAAGAGACTTTTCCATGGTTACACAGTAGTAAGTGGCAGAGATAGGACTGGCATTTGGCTCTGGATTCCATACTTTACTGCCTATAGAAATAAAAGAGGAAGTAGGGGGTAGGAGTGCATGCAGGTAGAAAAGGTTGAGATAAAAGTAGAAGTAAGCAGGAAAAAGCCTTGAGGGAAATAGTAACTCTGCTTGTATTAGATGCACATAAACTCATTGTATCTTTGAATACTGTCAAGAACAGCCAATGCTAATACTTACTGAAGTTTAAATTTTCTTTAAACAAATACACATTTAATGCAATTCACTGAAAAATAATGCTAGTGTTGAGCAATAAGACTTAACATCTATTTATAACTGTAACACATTACACTTTTCCTCTTTTATGTATGTTTTTGGAGAGTGTGATTTTAATTGTTGGGAAATATAGAGTTCTACTACATGCTTACAAAAGGAAAAGGAAAAAAATGTTTTTTAAGTTTCATTTTCAACAAACATTAAAAGTAAGACTATAACTAGAGGGTAGCAATAACATAAAGCAAGAAGCTCTGGAAGTGTGATATCATGCTATAAAATGTACTGCCCAGAGGAAAATACCACTGAACAGGGTCTTGTTTTTTTTTTTTTTTTTTTTTAAAGACATATGAATAAAATTATTTTCAGTAATGAATAAAATCTATTTCATATAGTTTTATTTAAATATATATATTTAGGACTAACATGCTTTTGGATTTCTTTTGCTTTTCTATACAGTATACTTCATTTTTTGAATTTAATCATCACCTGGAGTCTATAATGGACAAAGCATATATTTACAGGTAAAGTATAACTCAGTATACTTGGGGGAAGGGGAAAAAGCAATGGTGCAGCATTTTAGACAGAATTTGGCAGGGATATGACCTCCCTCTTCAAAAAAAAAAGGGTATAATTTCAGCTCTGGCTACATAAAATATAGGACTATGTTCTAGAACAGATGTGGGTATTTTAAGTGAAATAAAAGTATGAAAATCATATCAGATTTTAGAAGAGTACTGGACTAAGAAAATAAGACTTATTATCTGCTTCTGTCAAAACAAGTACAGAAAAACATACTCTTTTGCAAGTTGACTTTAAACCTTTCTCGTGATAATTCATTCCTAATCTGAATTTCATTCGTTTGTTGTTCTAAATTTGACTTGCACCAAAACCTCTAGTTGCCATTCATCATAGCATAAAGTCTCATGAGCTTTTCAGAGACATCTAGTTAAATCAGCATAGTGTATTTTATGGGACTTAAACTGAAGAGGTGACCCTTGAGGCATGTCTTTCGGTTTGTTGTTGTTGTTGTTATTTGTGTTTTTCCCTACACTCTGTCAATCCCAGTCAAGACATTGCCATCGGAAAACATGCAATGGTACCATCACTTTATACTGTACTAATGAGAGTTAACAGTTCACAAATCCAAAGCAAGGGGTTCACTGGAGACTTTAAGGAAAAGAAAGTGTTAAAATAGCCTGTATTCCAGAAAAAACATGGATTCTTACTTTCTATCTATTCTCTCTGACAGAGTTATTCGAACAACCGGATACTTGCTGTTTATTCTGCACATTAATGCCTGTGTTTATTACTGGGCTTCAAACTATGAAGGAATTGGCACTACTAGATGGGTGTATGATGGGGAAGGAAACAAGTAAGTTCTAATGTTGAAAAAAACCTTTATTGATTATTTTTAACATTCTGTTTCATTGCATGAATTTATGAGAGCCAGTGTTTTTGAAGCTGTCATAACCCATTCAATGACTGGTAAATACTATTTGACCATAAAAAAGGATAAAACCAAGTCATTTGCACCAAAATGGATGGGACTGAAGGTCACTATCTTAGTGAAATAAGCCAGATCCAAAACGATAAATATCACATGTTCTCACATATATGTGGGAGCTAAAAATTTTGATCACATAGAGACAGAGAGTGGAAAGATAACAGAGACTGGGAGGGGTGGGTGGTGGAGAGAGGAGCACATAAAAAGTGGATTAAAGGATACAAACATATAGTAAGAATGTATTCAATGTTTGCAACAGAGTAGGGTGACTATAGTTTCAAAACCTGTATTGTACTCGGCTAACAAACACCCTAAACACCCTGACTTGATCACTATGCATTATATACGTGTAACAAAATTGGACCAGTACCCCATGAATTTGTCCAAATAAAAAAATTTTTAAGCTGAAAAACCTCTTTAGTAAGTCAGTTCGTTTTTAAGTGAAAGAGAATAGAGGAGAATAGAATAGAACATATCAGAATCTGTCTGATAGTAAGGGAGTGTGTGTGTGTGTGTGTGTGTGTGTGTATCCTGAGTTAACCTGTGAAATGCATTTTTTACTCTGGATCATGATCAAAAAAGTTTGAAAGCCTCTACATTAGACAACTGAGCAGTAAGATAACTTTTAATAACTCCAATGCTGATTGTTAGTAATGAACAATGTTAATTATTTAGAGGGCAGGTGCAGTGGCTAATTAGTTTACCAGTGAAGGGTTTTATGGGTTTATGAGTCAGCTATAACCACTAACTCAATTAAACACTTAGAGACTAACAAGGATCATAAATTAAACTTGATAATTAGGTATGCAAGTGTCCCAGAAATAAAAAAGATCATCTGAAAAATTTAGAGCAGTAGAATCAGGACTTGGGAATGGCAACTGGGTTATTTAATAGTGAAATTTCCTTTTGGTAAGATACAAAGACCTGGCATAAAGTTGACTTCACTAACTTTCTGCTCCAGTGAAATGACATTGAACATATAATAAGGCAATATCCAAATTGGAAAAAAAGCAGATCCCAGCATTACTTTGAAGGGCAACTCACTGCAGCCTTGGGATGGAGAGCAATTATAGGATAGAGCAAAGAGAGGGAAAATAACTTACAAAATTACACACTACCTAGAGTGAGTTGGATGTGCATAAGGGATTATAACAACCAGAACCAATTTTAAAGAATTTAAAGTCAGAAGGACCACTGATTGGGAAACACACATATACAGATACTCTATTTCCAGAAAATTTACTAAATAAATAATTCCCTTTAGAATGTGAATGATTTACTTTGATATAAACAACTAATTTGTATAAAAATTGACTAAAATACCAACTATATTAAAATTGCCTCAAAGTGAGTATGTAATCCAACATCATTAGATGACTGTGACTGATAACTGTTTTTTTCAAATTAGCAAAATAATACAGGATTGCATAAGAATGCCTTCAAGAAAGTGAAGCTCTTTCTCTTTTTATACCTAGATGCCTCTCTGTGGAGTTTCTAGGGACTATATCTTGTTCCCAGTGTCAAGCTCAGTGTTAAGTATATAATAGTAGAAAATATATTAGGTATATAAAGGCAGATAGAGAGAGGGAGAGTAAGGAAAAAAGAAAGGAACGGCCAAATCTGCATCGTAACAAGAAGAAAGAAATCTCAGCTTCAGCCCATAAGAAACTTCAAGTGTGCTAGTGTTTTAGATTTCTAATTCCAGCTACATTATAAACCAGATAGCCAAAATACTCTCTCTAAAATACAAGATAAATTACCTGTTGTAATTTTGTTGTTACTTATTATAATTATTTATTATAAGTTTCTAGATGAATACAATTACAACAGTTTTCAATGATTGCTGAGTTCCCTAGAAAGTAAGAAGTATCTCCAAAGGCTAAAAAACAAACGTATGTACCAAACCTGGAGTACGGTAGGAAATGAGTGTGAGTAACCACTAAAGAACAGAAATGGAGAGAATAACTTCTAAATCGGTAAGCGGAAAAAATGAATATGGAAATTTAAAAAGCAAACCAATCCAAAAAAAGACACAAAGATAAGGAGTGGCAGTTTTGGGGAGAAGTATAGGAAAGGCAGGACAATAGAAGACACAACATAAGATAATAAGGACAATTTAAAATAGATCAGTATGTTACCAGAAAGGGGTCCTGATCCAGACCCCAAGAGAGGGTTCTTGGACCTTGTGCAAGAAAGAATTTGGGGCAAGTCCATGGAATAAAGTGAAAGCAAATTTATTAAGAAAGTAAAGAAATAAAAAAATAAATACTGCATAGGCAGAGGAGTGGCATGGACCGCTTGACTAAGAATACCTATAATTATTTCTTGATTATATGCTAAACAAGAAGTGGATTATTCATGAGTTTTCAGGGAAAGGGCTGGGCAATTCCCAGAATTGAGGGTTCTTCCCCTTTTCAGACTATATGGGGAAACTTCTGGACATTGCCATGGCATTTGTAAACTGTCATGGTACTGGTGGGAGTGTCTTTTAGCATGCTAATGAATTATAATTAGCATATAATGAGCAATGAGGGTGACAAGAGTTCACTTTCATCGCCATCTTGGTTGTGGTGGATTTGGGCCAGCTTCTTTATTGAAACCTAATTTATCAGCAAGGTCTCTGTTACCTGTATCGTGTGCCAACCTCCTATTTCATCCTGTGACTTAGAATGCTTAACCTCCTGGGAAGGCAGCCCAATAGGTCACAGTCTTATTTTACCCAGCCCCTTTTCAAGATGGAGTCACTCTGGTTCAAATACCTCTGACAAATATGTGCAGTAAATTAATGTGAACTAAACTCACATGCTAACAGAGATTGTCAATTAAAATTAGTCAGAAAAAGCTTTAAAACAAAAGACATTTTAGAGAAAAAGGTCACCATTTAATGATAAAATTTTGATTCACGATTGTCAAAAGACAAAATTACAACAAATTTATTTTAACTATTTTAATTGGCTTTTATTTGCAATTCTAGAATCAGGCAACACCTCAATTCTATAAAATAGAATGAATGTTCTGATGAGCTGAGCAAAAGAAGTTGGCTTCATAGGCAGAAAGGGGCTGAAGAAAGCATAAACAAAGAACAAAAATGGATTGGTCATTTCAAAGTTACTTTCCTTGTAAAGGTTAAAGTAGAGGGGACTTCCTTACCATGCTGGATAAAACTGGCTTGTTTGGGGATTTAGCTATCTCTCTTTCTCTCTCTCCTGATTTCTTAGAATGGCAGATAAACAACTTAGTTTCAGTTTGGTGACATAGAACTTCAGCATGAGTCATTCCATTTGGGTTTGGTCTGTTTGGCCTAGTGCAGGAGTTTAGTCCAAACCAATGGCCTCCTATAAATTTTATTTACTACCATCAGGATATTCCAATTTTAAATGTGTATGCACCCAATAAAATACTTACAATCATTCAAAGAAAATCATAAAGCAAAAATTGATAGGAGGAGGAGAAATTGGCCAATATATCATCAAAGTGTGAGACACCAAACATAACTATTGACAGGTCAAGTAACCAAAAATAATAAACATATAAAAGATAATGATAACCCAAATAACAAGCTTGATTTCATGGGTACAAATAGAATCTTGCACCCAAGGATAAGAAACTGCTCATTTTTCTTAATCACTCACAGAAAAACTACTAAAAGTGATCATTTTCTAGGCCCAAAACTAGTTTCAATAAATTCCACAGCCTTGTTATCATACAAGTCACATTCTCTGACTATAAATATTAACCCATCAAGTCTGCTCTGCTCATTTAGACTGAAGCATTCTCACTCAAAACCAAAGCTCCAGCAATCCTATTACCGACCGTCAGGGACACAGGTTGCCACCTTTGCAATGAAAATGCTTTTAAAAGTAGCTTCTTTACTTATCTTTTTAGATAATTTGCATATGTCAGTTATTCATATACTAATCCTAACAGTTTTTTTTAACATCAACTTATCCTTCTATTGCTTCATATTACCCTTTGATCTTGTAAGCCAAGTTTTTGCAATAATTACCTAAAGTATTTTTTTAACTTAACCCTTGTGATGGTCCTGGTGACCTATAAATTGAAGGTTGCTTATTAGGCCTTTGGATTTGCAAATTTTGCCCTAGTTAGAATTACGCAGCAGACTGTGGGGCAAAAATGGAACACTGTGAACATTTAAAATAAGTCAAGTTTATTATTATTCCATTAATTCTCATCAGAACAGCAGTTTCTATTCATTTCAATAGAAGGCATTTTTATTTATATTGAGCAAATGACATCCTTCTTTAGACTGTAAAATTTGACAAAGAATGCAAATATTATTTCAAAAGGAGAACACAAGTGAGTACCTACGGTTATGTGATACTTAAAAATGTTGCCAATGTACTTTTGTCCACATATATCCCAATTTTATTTATTTTCTGACATAAATTTTCCAATGCGCACAAATTTTTTTTAACAAACCCATGGTCCTAATCCCTAGTGTATCTTTTCCTCGAAAAAAAAGAAAAGCAAACAAGGCTGCCATGGGAATTATTGACTTTAACTGAGGTAAGGAAGGAATCAGAATTACTATACTATAGTGCTAGAAAAATTTAGGTAATCTACCTTCTTAACTTTACAGATGAAGACTATAAGACTTAGGTAGATGAAAATATTTATTCAGGATGCCCTAGATACCTCATAGCTGAGGTCAGACAATGGCAGAGAGAGAGAAGGAAAGGGAGAGGGAGGGGGAGGGGAGGAGAAAGGGGAGGGGAAGAGGGAGAGGGAGAAGGGAAGAGGGAGAGAGCGCGGTGGGGTGGATATTTATCTTACAATTCCTGGAGAGTCACCCTTGGGATATAACAACAAGAACGAAAAAAACCCAGAGCAAAGAATCGGGGGATCAG